ACCTGCGCTACAAGCCGGTGCTGGTGCTGCAGAGCCTGAGCCACATCTCCATCTGGCTGCTGCTGGTGTTGGGCACCTCTGTCCTGGCCATGCAGCTGATGGAGTTCTTCTACAGTGTCACCATGGCTGCCCGCATCGCCTATTCCTCCTACATCTTCTCCCTCGTCGCCCCATCCCGCTACCAGCGTATGGCCAGCTACTCCCGCTCTGCTGTCCTCCTGGGTGTCTTCACCAGCTCGGTGCTGGGCCAGCTCTGTGTCACCCTGGGTAGTGTCTCCTTCCTCACCCTCAACTACGTCTCATTGGGCTTTGTCAGCTTCGGCCTTGTCCTTGCCCTCTTCCTTGAGCGGCCCCGGCGCAGCCTCTTCTTCAACCGGCCCGAGGGGGCTAGTGATGGGGCTGCACCCGCCGAGCTGGACAAGATGGCTGGGGGGGATGGTGGTGGGGGGACACAGGGCTGGCAGGAGGCGGCGCTGTGCCGTATGCTGCGGGAAGTAGGAGCATTGGCTGAGCAACCCCAGCTCCGGCTCTGGTGCTTGTGGTGGGTCTTCAACTCGGCCGGTTACTACCTGATGCTGTACTACGTGCATATCCTCTGGAACGAGATCTACCCCACCGTGGACAACCGCCGGGTATACAACGGAGGGGTGGACGCCGCCTCCACGCTGCTGGGTAAGCTCGCCTCGGCTGGAGACAGTGGATGCAGGGGGACACCCCCATCCTCCTGCATCCCCAGGAATGGCTGTCCTTATGTCATTTTGGGGGACGCAGAGGGTAGTTTGGCAGTGGTGATGAGATAAGCATCACTATGCTAGGGGATGCAAGGTGGTGCCATGCTGGGGAGATGTTCATGGCATCCTTCATCCCCTCCCCAGGGGCAGGTGCCTCCTTCGCCGCTGGCTACGTGAAGATCCGCTGGACGCTGTGGTCAGAGCTGGTGATCGGGATGGTGACAGCTTTCCAGGCAGGGCTGCTCCTGCTCATGAACACCACCAGCAACATCTGGCTATGCTACACTGCCTATGTCCTCTTCCGTGGCTCCCACCAGTTCCTGGTGCCCATTGCCATGTGTGTGGTACCCCTGGGGACCCACTCCCACCCCGGCAGCTGGGCTGGTACCAGGGGTTCACTGATGCCTCCCTCTTTCCTAGTTTCCAGATTGCTGCCTCCCTCTCCAAAGAGCTCTGCGCGCTGGTCTTTGGAGTCAACACCTTCTGCGCCACTGTGCTGAAGACCATCATCACCATCATTGTGGCTGACAAGAGGGGCTTGGGCTTGCCTGTACATCCACAGGTAGGGATGTGGGGCACCTAGTATGGAGGTGGTCCCCTAATGGTGTGGGGTGGAGTGGGGGCTGCAAGTGTCATTCTTTCTCCTCCTCTCTTGCAGTTTTACGTGTATTTTGGCTACTTCACACTGCTGGTGGTGGTCTACCTGCTAGCGGCTGTC